TCTGCGGTAGTCATTTCACCTCTCGGTCTACATGCCTCTCGGTCTACTCCAGTACAGCATGTGCTGTCTGGACCTTCCCTAAGGTCACGGTGACTAGGGATAGAGCCAGGACCCTAACTTCGTCTTGATTCCTGACAAATCCTACCAAGTGCCTACTGAGCAGTTGGCAGTGTCAGAGCACAGGGGACTGTGGCAGACAGCACGTACCCAGTCTCTGCCTTCAGGAGCTGTGCAGGAAGGCAGGGGCTCAGAGACCTCATATCCTGGGAGGAGATACAGCGATACTTGTGGACATGGTCTGACTTAGATCTGGTGGGGAGGGAGGATTCTCGGGAAATATTTCGGCCTAGACCTGAAGGGCGAGTCAAGTTAGTAGATGAGGTGGAGAGAAGTGTCCCAGGCAGAGGTGGGAAGTGCGGGCTGTGGGGTGCATGTGCCAGGACTGTGGGATGGGCCTGGTCCGCTGTGAGGCAGGGAAGACCAGGTCTGGCCCAGATGTGCGCCTGCAGAGCCCCTTGCCTCAGATCGAGCAGTGGCAGGCGCAGGACTGGAGGCCTGTCTTCTGTGTGTTGAGGGGTGTGTGCTGTCCCCTTGCCCCATTCCAGAGCCAGATGAAGTTAGAGCTGGCGGCCGTGGCCTCGGAGTTCGGGCGGCTGACACGGTTCCTGGCCGAAGAGCAGGCAGGGCTGGAGAGGCGCCTCCGGGAGATGCACGAAGCTCAGCTGGGGCGCGCAGGGGCAGCCGCCAGCCGCCTGGCCGAGCAGGCCGCCCAGCTGAGCCGGCTGTTGGCAGAGGCCCAGGAGCGGAGCCAGCAGGGGGGCCTGCGGCTGCTCCAGGTAAGCGCGGCCTGCCTGCCTCGTCCCCTGCCCCAGCTCCCATGTCCCTCGGGCAGGCACTGTGTGAGCTGGCCCAAGCTGTCTTTCTGCTCACTGGAAGGAGCCACAGTGATCTGACCTGAGGACTGCACGTTTTCTGAGGCTGGGGACAGAGTTAATGTCATAGGGGGTATGGCGATTATACCCAGTGAAGAGTAGTTGGAGGAGGAGGGTTTACATAAGAATTACGAATTGCTGACGTGACCTCCTGGAAAGGTGACCCAGGAGGTGACCGACTCCTATTGAGAGTTGGGGCTCCTGGCAGGATCAGTGGGTGTGGCAGGTGTGGGTGCGGCAGGCGTGGGTGCGGCCGAGACCCCGGCCCGTGGTGCGTGTCCCTGGCCCGGGCTCAGTCCTGTGGCTGGAGATGGGAGGAAGGAGCCGCCCGTGCAGCTGACTCTCTCTCCCCTCCCTCTTGTTCCTCCTGTTCCCAGGACATCAAGGAGACTTTCAATAGGTGTGTGCCCGCTCCACCCGCAGGGACCCCGCGGCCTCTGCGTCCCACCCCTGCCTCTCTCGGGTACCCCACTCCTTCCTTCCTCCCCAGGACCCGAGTTTCTGCCTCCCGGGCCCTCCCCCCTGGGAATATCCTGGTCCCACCCCCTGCCCCGTGCCCCTCTCCAGGTGTGAAGAGGTACAGCTGCAGCCCCCCGAGACCTGGTCCCCTGACCCGTGTCAACCCCATAGCCACGACTTCCTGACGGACGCCATTGTGAGGAAGATGAGCCGAATGTTCTGCCAGGCTGCGCGAGGTAGGGCCACCCGTGCCACCTGCCTGCCTCTCCCCAGACCGGGCTGGGTCCTGAGGGTCTGGACGGGGGCAGGACACAGGCAGGTCGCTCTGAGGTTTTGGAGGCAGGTCGGGGAGGATGGCAGGAAGAGCCAGAGCCAGGGCTGACCTGCCTATGCTGGGGAGCCCGTAGGGAGCTGAGGAAAGTGGGCAGGGGTGGACAGTGAGGAAGGCCAGACCCATGGAGTCGGCTGCTGAAGGGAACGGTCGTCCCAGCCCTGGTGTGTTTGTTTCCCCCCACCTGAAGTGGACCTGACGCTGGACCCCGACACGGCTCACCCGGCCCTGATGTTGTCCCCTGACCGCCGGGGGGTCCGCCTGGCAGAGCGGCGGCAGGAGGTTGCCGACCACCCCAAGCACTTCTCCGCAGACTGCTGCGTCCTGGGGGCCCAGGGCTTCCGC